TTCACGTAGAGCGCGCTTCGTTACTCCGAGAAGATCCAGCGGAAGACGATGCCCGATTTTTCCATCGTGACAACGGCAGCGCACGATCCGGATATTCCGGCGAACTGCCTGGTGGATGAGTTCTCGACAAAGGCGACAGACGAGTCCCGGTCCTCGGCTGCTGTCGAATGTTGCCTCTCCCCGGGGTTGTTTGCTCGCGTTGAAGCACGGTATTTCGCTGCAGCGAGCAAATAAAAGCGCCACTTGGAACGGCGCGTCGACGACGATTCGCGCGGGACGTGCGCGCGCGAAAACGCGCACGCCCGCGCTCGTTCGCTCATAACGGCCCCGCGTTACCGCCGGTCTCATAATTTATTACAATCCACGTTACACCCGCTGCGTTTGTAGACTCCATCTCATTTACGAGGCTGAGGACGCGCGTGGTACGCGCGCGCGTGGGCGCGAGTTACCGCGCTCCGTCAGAGCCCGGTCACGACGGATGCGCGCGCTCGTTGTTCGTAAAACGCGGATTTAAAGTCGTCACTTTTAATAGCCCCGGTAAAACCCGGAGAACACGTGGACGCGTGTCCGCGCGGAAGTGCCACAACAGGTTTGCGCGACGTCAACGCACGGGAAGGTGATTGGCACCGCGTGCGTCGAATTTCTATATGGGTGAAAAAAAAAGGGGGGGGTCGCGAAAACGGATATCGACCTGACATTATTGGGAACATTGAACTTCATTCGAGGGTCGAGGTTCGAGAAAAGTGCACGGACGATTGTCACATGTCACTCGAATAATTCAGCCCGCGGCAGCTGAACTCGCGGAGTTAAATAAGCCGAGCGGTAAAGATCGCGCGCGCGCGCGCGCGTGTGTGTGTGTGTGTGTGTACGCGGCTCGCCAAATAGAACGGTCACACAAGAGTTCATAAAACGGGTCTGTTTCAGCTTCGCAAAGCCGTGGACGTTGCGCCGCAACGTCCCACGATCCCCACGATTCCCGAGGTCTCGTGTATTAACATTCCGACGGTCACAATCGGAAAGTTACACCAACGATCGCGTGTATCTCTTTGATACAACCGTGTACTAATTGAATTATTCATTAAATTATGGCTTATAGCACAGCCGCTTTCCGTGTTCTGAAGAATTCACTTACGGATGTCCGAAAATAAAAGAAATCGGCTTAATGAATTAAAGCAAAAGTAATTGAAAAGGAATAAATTAAAGAAAAAAAAAAAACTTATGTGAACGGCAGATTTATCTACACAGAGAAAATATTGTAGTGAATGTTACGTAATGAATAAAATTTGTAATGAAGAAAATCGTGCAATGCTGGACCGTACCGGAATTATGAATGCAATTATTATGTGTCGTAATCTTCAGCGATGTGTACATATGAGTCACTAAAGACTATGACACACATCATAATTTCGGTCACAATTTCGATATGATCCAACGTTACAAAATTTTGCGATAATTTTCACCACAATATTTTTTGCCACGTGCAAGACACAAATTAACCGAAGGGAGTGGATGCACCACGTCGAAGCCGTGCGACAATATCGTGAGGTAGAAGAGATTAAGAGAGGAGAATACACGATGGAGGAGCGTGAGTCAACTGCTTATCATTTTACTGCAGCGCTATCTCGAAGTTAGAAGGTGTATTTCACAGGATATGGCCGATGAAGCGTTAATTTTGAAAACGAGCGCCGTAGATAGTCGCGATATCGTCGCGAGAGGAACGTGGTTGAGAGTACTTTAATTTCTCGATTAAATTCTCAGCGGTCATCTCCTCGCCCGTCCGATATTCCTCGGCGATTCATTATCAATCAAGGAAAGTTACCCGCGGGTATCAGTGGGGAAGACAGAATTATCGTCGCGTCTCTCCTCGAGATAGATACGCGATTCCCGCGGCAATTTCGTTCATTGTAACGAACACGTCCAGCGAGGGACGGCTTTATAATGCACGTCCGACCGACGAAGAATACCGCGTTCCCGAAAACTCCGCTTCAACCTGGACACAAAGAGACGAAGGAGATCACGACTGGAACGCTTTTGTGTCGTCGGATGAAATTTTAGCTTCGCGTGACCCGTCGCCGCTTCGGGCCGCAACCACCACACCTCTCGTCGCTCCCTCTCTCTCTCTCTCTCTCTCTCTCTCTTTCTCTCTCACATGCGCTCTTCTTTTTCTACGTCATCCTCTCCATCTGGCGTTCTCGTGTGTCGTAAAAAATAGTAGAGCACCGCCGTCGTCGTTGCCGTAGCGCTCGTCGCCCTCGCGTGTACGGTTATCGTTATCAACGGTCGCGCGCTGTGCATCCCGACGCTCGGATGACTATAGGGAAGCGTACAGGTATAGAGAATAATCAACGGGGTATGCACACACGGGGTTTGCGGCGCGCCGATAGGGGTCGGGGAGACATCCACCGCCGTCGGGGTGCAGCCCCCATGTATCTTCCGAATACGGGCATAATGATGCGTCTACGGTTGCGTCTGAAGTTGGGTGAAGTATCGCGCGACGGAGAACGCTCGATCTCCGCCGGAGATGGCAATAAATACTTAAACCCACGAGAGATACGTAGGAAATGGTCGAAAATTTCCGGCCACGACGCGATACCTCCGCGCGCGCTTCTTCTTTGAAGAGTCAGCCGCGCGGAATTCTTACGGAACCGGGAATGGGGAGGGGGGGGAATCCCTTCGGTTTTCCCGTTGGTGTGCATTTTTCAGCGTGGAATCTCCTTCCCAGCGCGCGGTTATTCGACACCGCCGCAACGAACGAGCCCTCCCAACTGGGAGCTTCTTCTTCTCATTCTTCTTCTTCTTCTTCCTCTTATTCTTTCGATCCAGCTCGAAGCTAATTTCCCGCGGACCCGAGATTCCCGCATCGCCGGGACTCGCCCGTGGAAGAAGGCCGTCGTCCGCGGAAAACCCGAGAACCACCTAGCGAACTATCTCCCGGCCGAGGAACGAGAAGGGTCGAAGCGCGCCCACGGCGATGCGAGAGAGAGAGAGAGAGAGAGAGCACGATATCACGTCGGCAATTGCCGGGTCTCCTCCATTCCACCACCTGGGAACCGGTTGCTGGGGCTCGCGCGCGACTCCACGCGTAATGCGGGGAAAACGCGCCTCGCTTACGCGACACGCGGGGTTTTGCTCGCGCGCGCACGTACGCGCAGTGGGCCCTCTTTCAGCGCGCGATCTCAGCTTAATGTAAAACGGATCTTCGATATTTCCGTGCGAGATCGAGCGCTCCGATTCGGTCGGCCGCGTATGACGGCGCGTCCGTTGTCGGGCGCGCGCGACGTCGTAGTATGTATACGCTATGTAGTTAGGCGCACGCAACGAACAAAGGTCCGCATTGATAGAAGTATGCCGAGGCGAAGCCCGAACGAGACAGAGGGAGGGAGAGGGGAGATCGCCGCATTCTCGCGACGCGATACAGTCTCATGCGCGATTAATTAGGTATATCCGAGCGACGACACACACGGCTCGCGCTCGGCTATCGCGCGAGTGCAAAGACCCCATCGACTCCATTCGAAACGTATTAACGGAGCATTGTACGTCGAATAATTGTCCGCACAGAGAGACACGCGAGGGTGGAGAGGGGGAGGATAGGTCGGTCGCGGCGCGCTCGCGCGTTCGATATATCCTCCTTCGCCATTCCTATATCCCCCTTCTTCCGGCATTGTTTTCTTCGCCGGATCTATTGTCCGTCCCGCCTCATTGTCGTTTTCGTGCCGGCTGGAAGGATTAACGCGCGAATATCCCGTACTAGTGGCGGCTCTCTCTCTCTCTCTCTCTCTCTCTGGGGCTTTCGCTCTCGCGCGCGGCGAGGTGTTCCTCCGACGAGAACTCACTTCCGGGAAGCGCGCGGTGGTGCCGCTCGCGCCGAAATATTGCATCGTCGAAGTTCGAGGGCGGAAAAGGAGCGCGCTCTCGATCGGCCGCGTGCTACACGTGGTACACGACTCGCGGGTAACGACTCCGCGCGCGCGCGCGCAATATACATTCCGCGGAAGGGCATTGTTGTCCCACTACGATCTATTGTCTATTGTTGCGGCGCATTGTTGTCGTCGAATCCAATGGAGTAGGACTAACGCTGAATGGCCTTTTCCACGACGGGGAATCGCGGTCCTTTTCCCGCGACAGACGCGTCGTGGGGGATCGATGCATTCCCGATGCACCGCCGAGTCGGCGATGCAAAGAGTCGTTCGTGAGGGGAAGGGGCCGAAGATTCTCGCGCGATCCTCCGCGCGTTTTCGGCCTTCCCTCCGCTCGATAAGGCTGCTGATTATCGGGGTAGCGCCGCTTAATTTCGTGATGGCCGGCAGTTACCGTCCTAAGGCACCGTCCGTTTACAATAAGAACGTAACTCACGCGAATCCCGGTATCTACCGGTTACACCGGGCGAGAGAGAGAGAGAGAGAGAGAGAAAGGAAGGGAAACTCGGGCCAGGAAACGTTCTATCGCGCTTCTTCCGATTCCTCATCGGGCGCGGCATCAGAACGGCGATATCAGAGATATAACGCGACGGCGAGATTGTTCGCCGGTTAAAGCCGGCCGTATAAAATTTAATCCCCCGTAATCTCGCGCGAGCGCCCGCGCTATTTATCATTGCGCGCGCGGCAACTTTTAGCGGGGCGATTAATTCGCCCCCTTGTCAGGGGGATCATCGCTTTCGCTGTCTCGGCGCCGTGAAGAATCGTCGCTCCTCGGCTTCGCCCCGACATCGCATTCGACGTCTCCGATAATTCGCGCTTCTCTTGGTTACATCGCGCCGTACGCGGCTCTCCGAGAGGCGCGTCGCGCGGACGCTTAATAATTATCTCACGATAACACCTCCGCGACATTCGAGGGAAGTTAATATCCGTCCGTGTCATATTTACGGCCACTCGTACTCGGGAATCACGTCCTTGATACCTGTCACCGTGCGCGCAACACTGTCGAACTTGGCTCTGTCTCCCGTGTCCCCACTTTATCGAGCAAGGTCTATTTATAGAAACTCGACCCGCCTCGTGCATTCTACTTGAGCCATCGCGCTGAGCATTACGGAAGTCACTTGGGAAGCCGATGAAAAGCGGGGGAGAGGAGATGCCGCGCGAAAAGGTATAAGGAAGTACATTTTCGTTCCCGATAAGACGTATAAGCAGTCGGTGTGTGTGTGTGTGTGTTTAGAGTACCCGTGAAAGTCTGAGATCGGTTCGGATGACTCGAAGGTACATCTTCGGACAGGAGCGCGCTCCCCCTCGCGCAACCGCTCGATTAATATGCCCGGTGACTACCCCCGTTTAATTTATTCATAATGGCGATCGCAATTACTTCGTCCGTTAATTATCGCTCCGATAAATGGAACACTAATAAGTATCCCTTGCTTTACAAATACGAGCGTCGATATTCATTCGTGAGAGACGAGTCGGCGGTGTTTGTTCTTTTATAAGTTTAACGTGGAAATTAAAACGCCGCGGCTTGAGATCGATCGCGCGAGGAGAATCGTCTCGTCCCCCCAACTCTCTCTCTCTCTCTCTCCCGCTCTGTCTCTCTTTCGCGAACGCGCGCACGCGTTCGGAGGGACGAAAAATTCGCCCGCGATTACATCGTTGAGCTAATCATATCAGATTCATATCATTTCGCACGTATGATTTTAATTACGATAATTACCGATGGCTCACGTCCGCGGAAGTGATTTCATTTTCGGCATTAACAATACCGATGATTACGCATCTCGATTAAATCCTCGTTGATTTCATTCAAATTTGAGTTTCGATACAACAATGGATTGGGGACAAACAATTTCGCGCAAATATCGGAAACATCGTATTGATTCCTATGACCGGCGGACGCATAAATTCGTAATCAAATATCGCGTTCCACCGTCGCTCTTTATTTGAACCTTCTCTCTTGTTTATTTTCGTTTTTTTTTTTTTAATACAAAAACTGTATTTCCTTTTTCTGGCTGAGTAACGATTGATTGTCGACTGCCGTCGTTTTACGAGGTTTACGGGACTCGTAGTTTTCCGTTTTCCGTTCTTTTCCTCACGGAAACATAACTTTCGAGCGAAGAAACGAAATTACCTCGCGTCGCATTACAGTCTCGTTCGCTCGCGCGACATTCGATAACGTTCCGACACACAACGCCGCGTTGGTATCCGAGCTCCGATTTCAAAGTAGGTGTTAATCCCAAAGTACGTTCGCGCTTTCTTATGCGGTATAATCGTCGCGTGCGTCTCGTTGGAGGTTTCACAGCTGTGTAATAAGCCGTCGGGGCCAAACTCGACTAAATATGCGAAAGAGAGGGGCAGAGAGAACCGATACATTTCCACGAGACATTTGAGAGTTAGAAGGCGTGGTCACGGGTTAACGCTTTACACGCGACGACGTCGGCACGACCTCGTTTGGCTGCGTCACGACGGAAATTTCGCCGAGTTTTTCTTCGCTCGTCAAACGATACAAAGTCGGGAGAAACGCTGGGTCGAGCCCGGACTACCTCCCTCCCCTCCTCCCGACAGAGGGCACGTACTTGATGGAACGTAGTTGTCTCGGAACGATTTCGCGGACGGGATGTCAAGCGAGACCGCCGCGTTGTCTCATCTCCGTTTCATTCTTATATATGCATTATGCATTCTTCGTGTCCCGACGATGTCTGCTTCCATTACCCATAATGACACATACAGCCGCTGGGCGTACACAACGCGCACTCCTCCCTTTTCCTGGATAGTTTTACCCGCGATGGATATTAAGACGATTGATAATGCACGATGCGACGATCTCGAATGGCGAATGCAGGATGCAGCTAACGAGTAAATCGAAGGAGAGAACCGCGAGATCGCATTGGAAAACCGCGTGTTTGTCGCTCGTTCGAAATAGCCCGCGTCGTTTGTTCTCCAGGGTTTTTTTTCTCTGTGCAATTATCGAGTGAGTCGATTTCTCGAGCTGTCAATCAAGTATTATCGACTTCAAAGGATGAATTTACCGTTCTATTTCGAATAACTGCGCAACAGCGCAGACACATATATTCCTCGGGAACAAACGACATCGTATTTTCTCGCGAAATTACGACACGGCTGAAAATAACGGACAATTAACGTTGTGGTGGAGAATAGTGTTGGATGGTCCGTACGATAAAACGTTGGATTTAGATCCTCGAGCTTAACTGATTTTCAGTCAGATAACGAAGTAACCATCTTGAACTTCTTATGCTATTATTAACACGAATAAAAGTGTCGGTACACATAACGGAACAAACACAAAATAGTCTATTTTAAAACGGAAATTTAATATCAATTTGTCGGTGAAAGATCGAAAAAGATTGTTTTTCACTCCGAGATGTGTTTAGGTAAAACTGATAAAATAGCTTGAAAATGGGAAAAAAATAATGTACCTGTAAAAACGATATTATTATTTCACATATCCTGGTTCACTCGTACTATTTCCACACCATTCGACGAATCGCTATTTCGGCGAGATATTCGCGTTATTTGACTTACTCTTAAATAATTAAGCTCCTCCTCAGATATTTTGCAACAAACGGACAATTCAAGGAAACTCGATAGATTAGTCCACAAGACTCTCCCGAATCCACTCTAGTAGCGCGGCCACAAAATGCAATTATTTCCGAAATAGGATTAATTCCGATGCTCGCGCGCTTCCGCGTCGCATGAAGATACAAAGATCTCGAGGACTATCTTTAAATGCAGAAAATCTCCAAGAAAAATCTCCGAGACACAAAAGGGGGATAGAAGCCTCCTATTCTCGACGTGATCGTAGCGACAATATTTGTCGTCAGGAATTACGTATAAAGATACCGCATGCTTTTGCCAGCCTGAGTGCAAGCTCAATCTCAAGGACGAAGTGGCGGGTGTGCTTTCGGCGTAAGCGATCTGAAAACTCCACGTGTCTTTGTCACGCGCATCTGCCCGCACGTTCTCGTGTCGAGTGAACGGGAAGTTCTGTACACGTGTGTGTGTGTGTGTACAGAGTCGAATTCCACCCCGTAGCGAATAAACGCTCTCGTAATTGCGGACTGGAAACAAGAAACAAGCGCGTAATCAGAGTACCCGGTCGGATGACGGTCCTCTGTATTCTCGCGGCGCACCGAAGGAATAATTCCTCGATGAAATAACGATACGGCGGCATATTGAAATACGACGAGAGCACTCAGCGCTCGCGGAATCGGACCGACGAGAATCCAAGTTTTCCGAATTTGCGTCCGATCTAACATGCACGCACATGGTTATGTCACGACAAAGGTATTGTTAAAAAGTCCTTAAAGCCTAGTGTTGTTGACGATCGGCGAAAGGGTCAACGACGGACAAGTGCGCGTTTTACGACAGATTGATCGATCATCTCGCGCGACACAGAGGTATTCAAGATTTTTCCACGACGCCAGAGAAATGGGACACTTGTTGCTAAGAGAAATGGCCGTCTAACAAAGGGCCGGGAGAGATGTTTGCGATTCGCTCGTTATTTTGTGTACTTTTCGCCTCGAGGAGCAGCCGTCCGGCGATTTCGATCGCGCACGGAGCCCGTGAGGGATGAGTCCGCCCCCTTCGTCGTTGCGTGTCGTCGCAAGTAATCGGTCCTGCCAAATCGCCGTTCCGACGAAGCCTCGTCGTAGCTCGCGAGTTACGGTTATAGCTGGTCGGCCTCACGTCCGTCACGCGAATGACTTTCCGCGCGAGATCGCATCGATTGGACTTATTGTGGCTGTGTATTCTCTCCCTCTCTCTCTCGTTTCTTCCCGCTGGTTGATATCTTCGGTTTCTCGTGGAAGCGCGATGTTAGGGAATCCGGCGATCGGGACGTGGCCGCGGTTACGCCTCGAGACGAGAGGTTACGCCTATGCGATCAGTTCCGTATCGGTCGACGATGATGCGTCGGCCGTTAGCGTTGAAATTTTCACGGCAACCGCCGATCGCCTCTCCCATCTCGTCTCTCCGATCGAGCTGACAATGGCGAATGGGATTGTAGCACGCACACTGCCATCGCCGGCGCGACACCGAAAGGTGGTGTGAATCGGGCGCGGGATTGCATCGGCGGGAGACGACGAAGGTATCCCCGTAAAGGAATATCAACGGGAACGAACGGAAATCGGACATCTGCGTGACACTTTCATTGTAGGAACGCGGTCAAGATTCCGGACTGTGGGGATATTCGGATAAAGTCATCCAGCCTAACGAGTCTGTCATCGCGTACACACATTTATCGCCCGGCCGGTCCAAGATACCACAGGTATCCTGTGCTATTATATTATCTAATCTACGTAGCAGTCTCACACACACACATATACATACGTAATCGTTCACATACACACACGGGCACAGTGACGTTCCTTCGTTCTCCCGACGACCCGTGTGACACGGGTCGTTTTTACGGGTCGCCACGCGGAGAATTGCAAGCGGCGCTGAGGAAAAGTTTCACGTCGTCGTATCGGATATTAAACCGCTTTCGAGGGAAATCAAGACCTCTTTTCCGCGACAATCTGAGAATCGCCTCGAGTTATAGCGAAAAATTGATATCGACCATGCCGTCGTCATCGCTCGCTTCGCGAAATAACTCGAGTACCTGCAGACGCGTCGCCGGTTCGCCCTTTTACCGTCGTTATATACTGCACATAGCGAGAACGAGAGAGAGAGAGAGAGGAACGCAACGATATCGGTATTACTGCGAATCTCATTTCCATGGATCGCGGCGAATCGAACTTCGTCCAAACTCGCGGTACTTCGCGCCGTGGCTGGACTATCTGATTTCGATATCGAAATTAATATCCCGCGTGAACTGCCAGCCGCGTGTGCGTCGACGAGATATATGAGAGAGAATGCGAGAATGGATACCGTTGGAGCGCGATACGTGGTCATCCACGGACCGCGGTGGAAAAATAATCATGGAAAGAGTCCTCTCCCTCTCTTCCTCTTTCTCTGGCTCTACCTATCTCTCGCTCTCTCGTCGGCACGTTACGCGTACGAGTGTAATTTGTAGATTACACGCAACGTCATTTGAATATGTTGCATTTTTCACCAGACGTATTTAGCTAGAGGTACTCTTTGTGTGTGTGTGTGTGTGTGTGTGTGTGTGTGGTGGGGGTTACGCCGTAACGAAATCGTTAACCT